AAATACGTCAAACATAAAAAGGTTTGACTTTCCAACAAAGTTGGAAGTACACTCTTCAAAGGACGAAGGGAGTACCAAATATTTACATGATTGAATTCAATCGACATCTGCCAAAGTAAGCACGAATAAATGAGAAGAGGATCGAACACGATTCGGTTTTAGTTGCGAAGGAGAAAAAAATTAAAGTGGGAGAGATGGTGGGAGGGGGGATGAAAAAAAACAGCGAAAAAAAACGGTTGAAAATGGTGGAACGAAAATAAACCATACTATTCAACCAACTCAGACATTAGGAGTAGAGATCACTGATACTCCAGTAACCCATAAAAATGAAAGTACTGAAAATTAGTTTGTAAGGAAAAAATAGTGACTCCCAGCAAACCTACTGCCTAGATTCCATGAGCTCGTTTTAGCTCTAAGAGCTTTTATCTCTTTTACATTCTGCTAAACACGTGGGTGAATAACAGTTAGAAATTGTTCTATATGTACACGGGCATTCTACTAGAACTGATGCTTGAAAGAATAAAAAGTTATATAATATTTGTAAGCCAAGCACTGGAAAAGCTCACTCCTCACACGACATCAGCATCACCTATGCATCTACTTTGTTTAAACATAGTCTACAGGTTTACTCATGTTCTCTGTTTTTTGTCATTTCAGGGAGGTTTGTTAGGAGCCCATCTCCTCTACAGAAAACCCTGCAGGAAGAGGGCTAGATATGGTGATACTTGCTAGCCTTTTAATGGGCACCTCCTTTTGGCCCTTTTTAGTTTCTCTCATTAGCTAAGAGACTTTTGTGAGTGAGATTTTTCTTTGTTCTCCATTTTTTTGTCTTTTGGAGTTTTGCTTTGCGGTGAGAGGAGGATAGAGATATCCAGTTGCCATGGGGATCAGAGATTAGGTGAGGTTACATAGTTTGTATCAGGTTTACAATGTGAGGTAAAGGAAGGGAATAAAGTGATATTAGAATATTACAGGCATATATCCGGATATATTTTATGCGATGCACAAATGGTGTTGTTACATTGATTTTTTTTACTTCTCTAGAACCACCTGATTCATCGACACATTGCCTCGGAACATGCGTAGTGAAGCAAAGTAGATCAAACTGTAGCTGCACCTACAAAAGAGAAATTATATCACTCTTGATGTGGCAAGATTTACCAGGTTGAATTACGTTGTACATCAGCCAAATCTGCAACCTCATAAACCACGAATGATGCAGTAAACTTCATAATCCAATAATTGAGTGAGATTCCTTATTTTAGTTGGTTGCATAAGTGACATATGTCTAGAGATGTGCATATTTTTGGATGATTGTTGGGAAGTATTTTTGCAAACTAGGCTATGTGCTATAGGTGGGGTTGTCACCCTCCATTCTTTGGCAGAGTTGATACAACCCAAGTGAATATGTGAATTCTAAAGGACTTAATGTCTCGCTTTACTTTGCCGCAAAAAAGATGTCTCGCTTTACTTTAAAGGTCTTAAGTAGATACAATGCTTCCATCACCTCAGATGCTATTGTAAGTTGACTGCAAATTTCTACTACTGTGTATTATGTTGAGATTACTATTTAGAGCATCTCCAACAGCCTCGCTAAACTAGCGCCGCGCCGCAAATTAGGCCGTTTTAGCGCGCGCGCAACACGGCGGGTCACTCCAGCGGGCGCGCAAAAACGGCGCACGCGCTATAACGGGTTGGGCGCGCGGTCGAAAACACTTAGACGCGCGGTGTATTTCGGGCGCCCGCTGCAGCGCGCGGCACACTCCAGCGCTCGCGCCCGCACTTCCTCTCCCACTTCCACCCCCCGTCCGGCCGCGCCGCCGCCGCCGCCCGCGCCCCCCGGCGACCGTTCAGGCTTCCCCGGCCTATCCCCGCGCGCCCGCGCTTCCACCCCATCCCCTCCTAGTCCCGCCGGCGCTCGCGCGCCTCCGTCGTCCGAGGAACAACGCCCGAGCGCTCGCTGCCGCGCCGCGCCCGCAAGGTGTTTGACAAAACGCCTACAAGGTATGTATTGCTCAAACTTCATGAATTTGATGCATGTTTTGAATTGTAGTTTTTATAGTATAGTATTGAACATTGTAGATGAGTTCGTCGTATGATTCTTCCGAAGAAGAATTTGATATGGAAGAGGAGGAGGATCTTGCAATGATCCTAGCTATGCATATAAAAAAACCGAAGCACGGTGGTTCAGTTATGGATCGGCAGAAAAATTGGAGGGATAGGATCGATGCCCACAACAGATTGATCAGGCATTATTTTGCGGAGAATCCCATATACCCCAAGTCGTATTTTCGTCGCCGGTTTAGGATGAGCACCGAGTTGTTCAGGCGCATTGCAGAGAAACTAGCGAGCCATGACCGTTTTTTTCAGCAAAGGAGGAATGCCGCCGGAGAGCTCGGGCATAGCACCTTTCAGAAGGTGACAGCCGCTTTGCGTATGTTGGCATACGGTATACCGGCTGATCTTGTTGATGATCACTTGGCTATGGGTGAGAGCCAAGCCATCATGTGTGTCAAGCGCTTTGCAGTGGGAATTGTGCAAGTGTTTGGCAAGGAGTATTTGAGATCTCCCAATGCTGAAGACGTCGCAAGGCTATTGGCGATGAACAAAGCTCGCGGTTTTCCTGGCATGCTTGGCTCAATAGATTGCATGAATTGGAGTTGGAAGAATTGTCCAAAGACATGGCATGGGCAATTCCACGGCCAAAAAAGGGTTCCACTATAATCCTTGAAGCGGTGGCCGATCAGGAGACTTGGATTTGGCATGCATTCTTTGGAATGCCTGGATCTTTGAATGACATCAATGTTGTCAACCGGTCACCACTGATGAATAAGATTGTAAACGGTGAATTGCCACCGGTGCAGTTTGTAGCAAATGGCCGTACGTACAACTATGGCTATTATCTAGCGGATGGCATCTATCCAAAGTGGCAAACCTTCGTGAAGCCGTTGAAAAAGTCGGAAGGTAAGAAAAATCCTGACTTCCACAATGCTCATGCGGCGGCTAGAAAAGATGTGGAGAGAGCATTTGGGATTTTGCAAGCCCAATTTGCTATTGTGAGAGGACCGGCTAGATTTTGGGATCAAAAAATGCTTTGGTACATCATGCACGCTTGTGTGATCATGCACAATATGATCATCGAGAATGAGCGTGGCCAAGATTTAGACTACTCACAGTATGAGCTCTTGGGATATCCCGTGCGAGTGCGACGGAGGGCTGAAAGGGTAGCCCGTTTTATTGCCTCCTATCATGCCATTCGGCGTCCTGCAACGCACAATAAACTTCAGAATGATTTGATTGAAGAGTGGTGGGCATGGCATGGACGACAAAGAGCATGATGATATCTGCATTCGACATTGTATTGTTCATGAACTATTTGTTGTGTTTATTGCATTTGTTGTACTGAACGATAAACTATTTGTTTGAGTTGTAATGATAACGAAATTGAACTATTTATTGTTGATTTATTTTGTTTGTTTGATCATTTTTGCTCATAAAATACATGTATATGTGGTTTGTGCGGCGCGCACGCGCGTTGTATTTTTGCGCTCTGCTGGAGCGGCGCGCGCGCGCTGCATTATAGCGCGGCTGCTAGAGCCAGCACAGGCGGGCGCGCTAAACCAGCCGAAGCGCGCGCGGCAAACAGGTTTTTTGCGTGCGGCGCTTAGCACGGCTGTTGGAGATGCTCTTAGGCCTGATAAAGCAATTAGCTCAAGAATGCAATGAGTGAGGGCGACCACTTCGAACCATTGGTGCTCCTGATCTATAGCAGCCCCGCAGTGAGTGGTGTTGGCCTTGTAACGGTCGACGCCTATGTCTGCAGCACCGGCGACCCACATTGTTGTAGCGCCTGTGCCTCGTGCTCTAGCAGCCCCTGGCTAGCAGCGCCAAAAGGTGCAAAGCTGGGCCGTGGAGGTGGGAGATAGACAAAAAAATAGGGTAGAAAATGAGAGCACTTTAACAATAAAAAGGAAGTCGCCGATGCAGCTCGTTGTAACGCATGGATATTCTATTAGTACTAGTTAAATATATGTATTGATTTTGTTCCGTCCGGTCCGCATGTAGTTCTTGGATATTTTTTTTCATTTATCCCCCGGGTGGGCCGAATGGGCCTACCACACGTTTCTTTTTTTGTCGGACTGACGAGCAGCAAAAAATTTAGACCACAAGGGGATTGAACCATGGACCTTTCCTATTGTGACGATGAACAAAACTAACTCAGCTAGCTTGCAATTATGATACCAATAGCCTCACCTTGGACCTTATATTAAAATGCCACCCGTTTTTATATCATCAGCTTGTCTGAAAATAAGGAGGTTGTCTGGAATAAATAAGTTGTCTCGAGAATTATATGCAGAATTAGGGACCCCATATTTATTGCCAGTGGTAGCTTGCACATGCCAATCAAATAGAATATGTCGGTTTGGCTTAAAAAACTGTGGGCAGGTGAACGCTAAAATAAAGAGAATGGACCCTGATAAAAAAAAAGAAACATTCATGTTTGGTTATGCACAGGGATTGGTGGTCCATCCGGTTATGCCATCGAGTGGTCGAAGCAAGATTGCAGTGCAACCACCAGAGGAGCGGACCGCAACCCCGAGACAAAGCGGACCCGGAGAAAAAAAAGGCACAAATTAAGTGGTCACTGTCACGTCGACCAACCTCACTACTATCAAGATTTTGTGGGCCAAACATGCCCGTAAGAAAACTGCAGCTCCTCGCTCTATCACCTACGGCAACCAAGACCGTATTTTGTGAAAACATCAATTATCCTCCCGACCATTGCAATGCGTAGGCATATCTACTAGTCTTTTGTAACAATGAAAGTGCACGCATAGTTCGGTCCGCATGATGGAACAAAATGTCTCAAGCGTTCGTCCAAGATGGAACAAAAGATGCCTTTTCGTCGTCGTCTTTGAACTCGAAACGAAGATGCTTATTTTAGTAGCATATAAAGAACAGTAGCTACTCGAACAGTTTAATCGAGTAGCAAGCGAAGCCTAGGCCGCTATGGTGCGGCCGCCGTCGACGTAGATGACCTGCCCGGTGACGTAGGACGCGGCCGGCATGCACAGGAACGTGACGAGCGACGCGACCTCCTCCGGCTCGCCCATGCGGCCCAGCGCGACGCGCTCGTTCTCCTTCTTCCCCATCGCCAGCAACGCCTCCATGTCAACCTCGATGCCGCTGCTCTGGAGGATGTCGCTCCGGATGCCCCCCGGCGCGACGCAGTTCACGCGGATGCCGTCGCTCGCCCACTCGACGGCGAGGTTGCGGCTGAGCTGGTTCATGGCCGCCTTGGTCGCCGAGTACACCGACAGCACCGGGTACGCGATGGCCGAGGCGACGGAGGAGATGTTCACCACGCTGCCGCCCCCGGCGGCGACGAGGAGCGGGTGCGCGAGCTGCGCGAGGTGGAAGCAGGACTCGAGGTTGGTGGCCATGAGCCGGGCGTAGTCCTCCGCCGTGCTCTGCGTGGCCGGCATGAAGAAGGTCTGCCCGGCGTTGTTGACGAGGATGTCCAGCTTGCCGCCCAGCTCGGCGCGGGCCGTGGCCATGAGCGCCTCCCGGTCGCCGCGCACGGACACGTCGCAGGCGGAGGCCGTGACGCGCCCGCTCAGGCGCCCCGCGTCGGCGTCGGCGGCCCACCCGCGCAGCCGCTCCTGCACGTCGGCGTCGCTCCGGGCGCATGTGTGCACCCGGACGCCGAACCCCGCGAGCTCCTCCACGATCGCGCGCCTGCGCCATGCATGGTACGCAAGTGAGCGTGTCAGCGTGTGCGATCAGTCACAAAACTAGCGGCATGAAAGAAAGATGCATGCAGGGGCAGGGCGTACCCAATTCCTTTGGTTCCGCCGGTGACGAGGGCCGTCTTGCCGGCGAGGCTCCACCGCTCCTCTCTGCTTGCTGCTGCTGCTGCCATCGCCGGTCGATCGGTGTGTTCTTGGAACTAGCTAGTGAACGATGTGGCAGGTTGGCCTTGGCCCTTGCTACTTAAATCTTCTTTGGAAGCTCTGCTGCCCACTATGACGACTTGGTAGCAGCTGGCAGGAGTGCAGAACCGCAGATGCTTCCTCGGCGATTCCTTGTTTTCGACGATGCGCACGGAGCATTACTCGCGCAGGCGGTGGCCGGACGGCCGGCTCATGTCACGCATCATGTCACGTTACCATGTTTTCGGCCCTGGATTTCGACTCCTCGTCCGCAGTGGCAAGTCCAGTGGGTGGGCTTCATAGGGCTCTAGCCTACCCTTTAAAAAATGATTTTTTTTCTAATACTATTCTTAAGGAACACGACAATGGTGTTCACCCTCCGTCAGCCCTTGTGTTCAAGGATCTCCGAGCTAACTGGGTCATGCGCAATGGAAGGGGTCCGGGGGAAGGCCGTAGCCAGCGCGGTGGCCGCAGAGGTGGCCGTGCTGGGGAGCGCTCAAGTGGCCGTTCTGAGGAGGGAAGAGATATCATGACAGAGAGACAGGTGTACGGATCAGCCCAGGATTATGACCCAAGCAAGGCGGCTAGCGACGTAGAGATGGAGGACTGGAGCAGGAAGAGGAACGTGGGAGCCGAGCTAGGAGCCAAACACCCCATGTCTCACCAGAATCCAGAAACGGCACCTGCAGATGCTAACTCACTTGCGATTGTGCCTGCGGGTATAACTGCAGCCAGCCCCCCACCGCACAGGGACTTGAAGAGAACCAAGAAGGCGGGAGAAGACTCAGAATTGTCAGCATCAACTGTGAAGAATTTGGCGGGCTCCTTTGAGGAGCACCGCCGGGTCCAATGAGTGTTTTATGCTGGAACTGTCGGGGCGTGGGTAAAGCCGCGACAGTTCGAGAGGTTCGCGAGTTTGCAAACAAATTTACCCCTACCCTCTTATGTATTGTCGAAACTCAGATAGAAGGCTCGAGGGTAGAATTGCTAGCTGGTACATTTGGTTATGACAATAGTTTTGCAATTGACAGTCGTGGTAGAAGCGGAGGAATTGGTATTTTTTGAAACAATGAAATAAAAGTTGAGATTCTTGGTTATTCGGATTACCATATAGATTGCTCTATTGAGGAGGATGGGCTCGATCCCTGGAGAGCCACGGTAGTGTATGGCGAAGCACAAACCCACCTACGCTATAAAACATGGGACACCCTGAAAAACATTAGCTCTTCATGCAACCTCCCTTGGCTTTGCCTTGATGATTTCAATGAAGTTTTGCGTCCCGAGGAGCATGAGGGAGCGGGACAACGGAGCAATGCACAGATACAGAGTTTTCGGGAGGCAGTAGATGTGTGCATGTTGCTGGACATCGGCTATAATGGCCGTTTTTGGACTTTTGAAAAGAAGGTGAGGGGAGGATCCTACACTAGGGTCCGACTGGATCGTGCGCTGGTCAATGGTGATTGGCGAGCAAGGTTTCCGTTAGCAGATTTGACACACTTGACGGCGGTAACTTCTGATCATTGTCCAATTTTAATGAGCCTAAACAGAGTTCAGCAAAGCAGTTGGAAGCAGAAACCCTTCAGGTATGAAGTCATGTGGGAAGGGCATGAAACCTGGAGCGATACAATTACATCTGCATGGATGGGAGGCGGAGTTAGTAATGGAGCAGACGGCTTACGAGCTAAGCTTCAGGCGATATCACTTGATTTGGGGCGCTGGAATAATGAGACGTTCGGTAATGTGCGGAAAGAAATTAAAAATCTAAAAGGGGAGCTGGAGAAACTTCGGTCGGACCCAAGCAGAACTGCGCCTACTCATGCTGAGCTGAAGATCAATGAAAATCTAGTAGAGCTTTATCATAGGGAAGAAATCTTATGGAGGCAGCGGTCCAGGGTTGAGTGGCTCTCGGCGGGTGACAGGAACACGAAGTTTTTTCACTTGAGAGCAAGCATTAGGAGGAAGAAAAATATGATTAAGGCTCTACAAAACTCTTTGGGGACTCTGACTGATGACCCGGAGGAACTCAAAGCAATGGTGCACGATTTCTATAAATCTCTATATACTTCGGAGGGAGTAAGCAACATGGAAACGGTTCTAAATTGTGTACCAACTAAGGTAACAACAGAGATGAACAATCTTCTCGGTGCACCGTACAGGGAGGAAGAAGTTAAGACAGCCCTCTTTCAGATGTTTCCAACCAAAGCGCCCGGCCCCGATGGCTTTCCAGCTCATTTCTATCAACATCATTGGGAGCTCTGTGGCGCTGAGGTGACGGAGGTTGTGCTAAGGATAATTCGGGGAGAGGAGAGTGCAGAAAGTATTAATGATACTGTTTTGGTTCTCATCCCTAAGGTAATGAATCCATCTTTGCTAACTCAATTCCGGCCGATTAGTCTATGCAATGTATTATACAAGATCGCGTCCAAGGTGATTGCAAATAGACTGAAGCAGGTTCTCCCAGAGATTATTTCAGAGGAGCAGTCGGCCTTTGTGCCAGGGAGACATATTACAGATAACATCATCAGTGCTTATGAGTGTCTCCACTTTATGAAGCACAGTAAAGCCAAAGTTAATAGTTTTTGTGCCCTAAAGCTAGATATGATGAAAGCATACGACATACTAGAGTGAGACTACTTGCAGGCGATAATGATCAAGCTGGGTTTCGCTCCAGCATGGGTACAAATCATCATGAACATGGTGCGGTCAGTATCGTTCTTAGTACTTTTTAATGGTGAGAGACTTGACACTTTTTATCCATCTAGAGGAATTCGGCAGGGAGATCCGATATCCCCATACCTCTTTTTAATCGCAGCAGAGGGCCTTTCGTGCCTACTGAAATCCAGTTCTTCGTCGTCTCAGTTAGAAGGAATCAAGGTGGCTCCCACGTCGCCCGTCGTGAACCATCTCCTTTTCGCTGATGATAGCCTGCTGATGTTTAAATCGAGTGTTAAAGGGGTTGTTGCAGTATCAAACCTGTTGGAGCAATACTGTTTGGCTTCAGGACAGCGCATAAATCACGAGAAATCATCTATCTTTTCAGTAGAGGCTTCCTGCAGGGTATGAGAGAAAGCATCAAAACCACTTTGAATGTCCAGAATGAATCCCTCAGCGACAGGTATTTGGGTATGCCTACGGATGTGGGGCACTCAAAGAATGGCACTTTCAGATACTTGGGAGGCCGAGTATGGGAAAAGATCAGAGGTTGGATGGAAAAAAATTCGTCGGCTGCGGGAAAGGAAGTACTTATCAAGTCAGTCGCGCAGTCCATACCGGTGTTTTCTATGTCATGCTTCCGCCTGCCAAGGGGTTTATGCGAGAGTATCACTTCCTTGATCAGGCAGTTTTGGTGGGGGAGTAAGCAAGGGAAGCGTAAGCCAAGCTGGGTATCCTGGGACGAGATGATTAAGCCTAAACATCTCGGTGGCCTTGGTTTTAGGGACTTGGAAATTTTTAACTTGGCCCTACTGTCCAAACAGGCATGGCTTCTGCTCCAATACCCTACCTCCTTGAGCGCACGCATACTCAAGAGTGTTTATTTCCCGGATGTATCTTTGTTGGAAGCAGAGTTGGGCCACCATCCATCACAGATCTGGCGGGCTATTCTTGACGGGAGAGACATTATGGTGCAAGGACTAGTAAGGAGAATTGGCAATGGAGAAACTACCGACATATGGTCTGACAATTGGCTACCTCGCTCACTTATAAAGAGACCGATCACATCTCTTACCCAGCATCCGCCACAGAGAGTTTCAGAACTTATCAACCACACTACCTCCTTGTGGAATGAACAACTAGTTCGGTCAACCTTTATACCAATTGATGCGGAGGCAATTCTGCAGATCCCTCTTTGCACAAGACAGATTGACGACTTTTGGGCATGGAGCGAAGATAGGAGGGGGATATTCTCGATGAGAACCGCCTATAGGATGATTCAGCAGAAGAAATTAAGTCCTGAAGCTTGGTTATATGAACAAGATGGGTCGTCTCACACACATGCAGATGGCGATGGTTGGACAAAACTTTGGGGAATCAAGGTACCATCGAAGCTCAAAGTCTTCCTGTGGAGACTTGCGAGGCGTACCACTCCAACGGCTGCACTTTTGCATCACCGAAACATGGCGGATTCGGCCGCGTGCTGCCTATGCGGAGCCGAAGACACTTGGAGACACGCGCTGTTAAACTGCACTGTCTCTCGAAGCACATGAGCATTGTCTTCTGAACACATACTTGATGTGCTTAATAGAAACGAGGAACCGGACCCGAAGAGGTGGCTTTTCTCCATGCAAGAGGCGTTATCTCATGATGAGTTCACAAACTTTGTGGTCACTCTTTGGGCACTGTGGGGAGCACACCGCAAGGCAATTTATGAGCATATCTATCAAAGCCCGTCCTCTGTTCAAGCATTTGTAAACTCATACGTGAATGAACTCAATGCACTGCAGTCCGTCAAAACGTCGCAGAGTTCGAGACCAGCGCCAAGACGATCAGGGTGGATCGCTCCATCTGGAGGGCTGGCAAAGTTTAATGTTGATGCTTCAGTGGGGAGAGGAAGAGGACATGGAGCTGTAGCAGCGATTTCTAGAGATTCAGACGGTAATTTCTTGGGAGCCTCGGCAGTGGTCTTCAGAGGTATAGCTGAACCGGCGATTCTCGACTGCATGGCGATCAGGGAGGCTCTAGCCCTAGCTGATGATTTGAACGTGGCAAACATCCAGGTGGCCTCGGATGCGAAGGTGGTGGTACAAGATATCCAGGAGAAGAACCCGACAGAGTATGGCGCGATCATACATGAAATATTAGAGCATATACTTTCTTTCCAAGTCTGTAATATTTCTCACGAATTTAGAAGCTCGAATATCGAGGCTCACAAGCTCGCGAAGCATACTTTATCCCTTCCGGCTGGCCGACATGTTTGGTTGGGACAGCCGAACGGTCTCTTTTTCGTCCCTGTAAACATTGTGACGTCGGAATAAAAAGCTTCGGAGTTTGT